GCATGTTCTTTGTGTACTTCCAGTTTTTTGGAGAGAAAACCTTTTAGAGTTCATTCAGCATTTAGTGTTCAAGTAATCTATCGTGCAAGAAGTAATACTTTAAGACTAACCATTCTGTAACTTGGGGTGAAGACTGGGTATGCATTTTGAGTTTTATTTTTTGTGAATAAAGATTTTTGTTTGTTTCCCCAAACGTTTGTCCAGTCTGTTCACATTTTCACAAAATGAACACTCAATTCGAATACCATTAATCACAAGAAGTATCGTAATTTTTCTTCTTCAGATTCTGCTCTTATTGCTGGATAATTCTATCTGATACTTGTCAGGAAATTGGTTTTTAACTGAAAATACCACATATGAATATATATTTTGTCATAGCTCATCCTTTGAAAAGTGGATATATTAGTGCATAATTTAATTATAGTGTTCACAATGTAGCATAAAAATAAGTTCTTGCTATACATATACATACTAGGTGAGAAACCAGTTCTACACAAGGGCCATGGAGATTAGATCAAATTGCTAACCCTATTTCACTGCCCAAAAGGCTTTAAGGGTGTATGCAATGTTTAGTGACAATCAGTCCAAGGGCTTGCCAGTTATGAGCAAACATAATGCACATGGTAAACATGGACCCTAAGAATATCCGTCAAGTTTGATGACAATCGGTTCAACAGTTTGCCTTTTATAAGGATACACACAGACTTTTGACAAATAATGTTTTAGATATATTAACATCTAATACACACACACTGCTGTAAGGTTCAAATACCCCAAATAATTCACAGAGGCTGCATTGTACCAATCAATCTCCTCCTTTATCCCCAATTAATTCTATAACTACCCAAGGGAGGGGGCCGTATTGGATAAAAATCCTGCCTGTGGTACCTGAGCACATTTACCAAATTTGGTCTTACTAGCTTAAGAGTGAGGATAGGAACACAGTTTCAGAAATGGAGCCTCAGGATAAATAGGAAAACCAGGAACACAAATTCTGATGGCAGATTCGAACTTACCAACCATGTACACTTACTACTAGACCCCCATCATGCTTGGGCGACTTTCTGGGTACATTTTAACCCAACCTGACTTAGCTTCCCACATATATAAAATCATGAGATTATGCCATCTAGATGTAGACATCCCCCTATCACCCCAAGTCTGCCTGACAAGCTTGGTCCAGTTAGCTCCAAAACTGTGGAAGGAGTTCTCGGGCAAAAAATTCACAAACACAGTGTAAATTAATGTTTTGATTAATTATCCTGTTCTGTAATTTAATGTATATGTTACTAAGCCAAGAAATAATTACAGTGATATTACATAAAATGTTTGTTATGGATTTCGCGCAATGCTACACGAGGGCTATCTGTGTTAGCCGTCCTTAATTTAGAAGTGTAAGACTGGAGGGAAGGCAGCTAGTCATCACCACCACCCTCCGCCAACTCTTGGGCTACTCTTTTACCAACGAACAGTGGGACTGACCGTCACATTATAACGCCCCACGGCTGATAGGGCGAACATGTTTGGTGTGAAGGGGATTCGAACCCGCGACCCACAGATTACGAGTCGAGCGCCCTAACCACCTGGCCTACATAAAATATAAAACTGCTGCAGCTTGGTGATGTGTCTTAGCTACTTCGTGTGAGCTGATAATATATAGGTGGGGAAGACATTATTTTCATAACCCATACTTCTATGAGGTCAATAATAAAAGATCAAGGTGGTGTGGAGGACGAACTGAGCTGCTGCTATTTTAGAAGAATAATCCATTCCTTCTTCAGGAGCGAACGACATGCGCTACAGATAAGTTAAATATTTGTTTGGATAAACCACTGGAAAAAAAAAGAACTCAAAAATTGCAGAAAAATTAAAAGAGCTATGAAATTATAATAAATTCAAACAGACTTCTTTTATTCAATGAATTTTATCGTAAAAATATGTGTAATATAAGTACAGGAAGCAAAGTTATTTTTGTCTATTATAAATGGTAATGTGCTGACACGCAAAGGAAATGCATTTGTACAGACTGGATGCTGATAAAATACGGCTCTATCCAGACACATATCCAAGTCAAGATGTCCGCTTTTCCTCAAGATGCAAGTACAAGAGAGAATTCATGATATGACACTTGCAGACACGTTATTGAGTTACCAGATGCATCTCGTAGATTTCCTTACCTTTGGGTTACTCGGACAAATCAGCAGAATAACAATAGTTTTCTACAGGAAATGTTTTAAAAAAGTGATTCTGAATTATTTTATGCTCAACCGAGTTTAAAGCAAAGAAAAAGACTTTACTTCTAACAAACAAAGTTAAAGCCATAAACAATTGTATTTGGTCTAGGTTTTACTGTGAGCACATTTCAGAAATAAATAAATACGAAGTGATGATTGTATCGATTAAAATACTTGCAACTCTTACAACACTTATTTATTATTATTATTATCATGGTGACACTAGTGATATATTTACAAAGAATCCTATCTTAAAAATAAATATGAAGCTCAATCTGTCAATAAGTTCACCACTTTCCACTGAGTTACACCGAATTCATAAGTAACAGAGGAGAAGGTCGAATCTAAAGAACAAGACTTTGGTTTTTATAGTATTGAAATACATATGTATGGTTTTACTCACCACAACGAGCCTATATTTATATAGGCTTCGGAGACAAGATAAGTGCTGATTCCATTTCATGTGCGAAGTACATGTTTTGTAAATATGTTGATAAATATTTCACTTTTGTTTTTCTCTTTGTGTACAATTTGCAGTATACCTATGAGTAATGAGGAACACTTCAAGATCTTAAAATTTAGTTTACAGTGGAATAACTCGGAGAAGACAACAGTAGAAAAGTTCCAAACATGTTAAAGACAGTTGGATTCATTCCAAAGAAACATATTGTTACGTCTCTGTTCGTTTGTTAATTTTCCGAAGAAACTTTAGCGATACAAGTCCTTTCTTAAATAAAACCAGTTTA